ATCGTATCAGTTGTACCTAATACCAAAATACAAACAAAATAAGAAGAATGACAACATACAAACACAACAACCATAAATACTAACTTATCTAAGTTATCAAACATACAAAATATGTATCATTTCTTCTCCTTGTTCTTTTTCTTCTTTTTTTCTTCCGTAAAAGGCGAACTTACATGAATTGAAGGCTTGATTTTCCTCTTCGGTGCCAAGTGACATTTTTTCTTAGCACATTGCTTAAACTTCTGTTTTTTCTTTTGTATAACACATTTATCACCACCACTCGTGTCCACACCAACAGCCGCAATCTTCTCATCTGCCACAGTCTCATCACTAGCCATTGTATCATCACCATCTATCTCTTCACCAGCCATAATCTCATCACCAACCATCTTAACACCATCATTCTCATTACCGGCAAATGATTCATCACCAACCATATTAACACCATCATTTTCATAACCAGCCACAGTACCATCACCAAACATGTCTTCATCATCACTAGACAAGGTATTATCATCAACCATCTCCTCCTCATCAACAGTTTCATCACCAACCATGGTCTCACTACCAGTCCTTATATCATCATCACGAGCCACAACATCATCACTACCCATCTCTTCACCAGTCCTCATATCATCATCACCAGCCATCTCTCTACGAGTCCTCATATCATCATCACCAGCCATCTCTCTACCTGTGCTCATATTATCATCACCAACATCCTTATCACCAGCCACAATATCATCATCAACCATCTCACATGAATTTATCATGTTATTAGTCGTCTCACCAGGTACTTCCTCTTCTCCATCTTTTCTTTTTTTCTTTCCTAACAATTTCTTCTTCTCTCGGAAACTCTGAGTCTTTCCATGTTAAATTAACTGCTTCTCTGGCTGAAAAATTATGATCATAATCCCTTGGCATGTTTACATAACTTTCAACATCTGCCAGTCTTGCTTTAATATCCTTAAGCTCATCTGCCATTGGTTTCATCATCCTCTTCATCATCAATTGTTCGGGTAGCTGCGGCTCCTCCATATATTCAGATGCTGGAATATTTTCTTGTTCTGTCACTTCCATAATTTCAACTGCTGGGAAATCTTCTCCAAATCCTCGAGAAGTAACATCTAACTTATACAGATCCTTCCACCAAATTTTCTTTTGATGTACATCGAGACATTCGTTCCACGCATCAGTAATAGGGTCAAATAAGTCTTAACTAGCTCTATAATGTCAAGCAAAAGAGCTTCCTCAGCTGCTGATGGTTTTAGGATACTAATGATGTCCTACAAAGGACAATAAAACAAAGGTTATCACAATTTCTATGTTTTAATTAACTACTACAAAACAAGTTCTTACTTTGTCCAAAAATAAAAATACAAAAATAAGTTCTTACATTAGTTGTTCCTAGTGCTTCATTTAGTTGATCAAGTGGAAAACATGTCATGCCATTATCTTTGAATTTCCTCTTGCGCATCAGTGGACATCCATCCTTAGCGCCTCTTACACTTTCTTAAGAGGTTTCTACTGCTTTCAAGTTATTCACTATCTTTAGAACGAAGGGATATATGCTATCATACTTTCTCCTTCTATTATTACCGTGCATATAAAGTATAAGACAACCACTTGCAAGCGATCTCCAGCACATTTACCATCCATTGACGCCAGCTTTCTTTCCAAATCCTTCACAGTTATTTTTGTATATCCAAATACCCTCTCCATAAATTCATAGTTACCAAAATTCTCAGCATTATAATCTGACTCATACTCATGGCAATCAAAACAAGTGATGATAGCATGTTCTCTCATTGAATAGCGTATTGGAGTGCTATTCACCACGAACCAGCATACCCTCTTCTTTTGTGTAGAAGCAGTCCGAAGAAGGAGCATCCACATACTGGTCATCTTATTATTCCTTGCCTAGCCAAGTGCCCTATATGCTTGAACTACTTGTGCTTTGTAAACCATTCTATTTCTGACTTGTCTAGCTTTTCTAAGGCCTTCAGCGTCTTAGTAATGCGACACCTTGTTGATAATTTGTAACTCTTTCCATACTCGTTGTGACTAAAGAAAAAGTTTTCAGGTTGAAGTGGTTATGTGTCGTCTTCCATATTCATCTTTACTTCATGCAATACAAACAGCAAATTACAAAAAGAAATTACTCACATAATAGTTGTACCTATTAGTACACAATAAATAAGCTCTCACAAAAACTCATAACATAATCAAATTTGATTCACACATTTTTCACACTTCACAAAAGCTCTCATTATCTACATAATTCTAGCTACAACACTAGATAAGGAAAAGTAACAATGAGCTGACAACATGAACCAGCAAAATCAGCGAAGCTTTTAAGAAAATGCCACACAAAACTCAAAAATTCAACACTCACACAAACTCAAAAACCCAACACTCAAATCCGTTTCACACAATTCACAAAACTAAACTCAATACTATCAATCAAAAAGGGGGACCAATCAAACAAGATACAAAGACAACAGAGAAAATAAAGCTTACCCTCAATTCTCACGGGCAGTGACAGTGGATTTCTCATGGCAAAACTCGCTGAAGTTTGAACAAGACAAAAAAAAGGAAGATTTTGCTGAGTAATGTTCCATAAAGAAGAATCAAATAAGCTTCCAAAGAAAATAAGAAGGATGCTAGAGAGAAATGAGAGAAGAGGGAAGAACGAAGCTCGTCTGCGGCGAGAGTGTTTGTGTTTTCGTCTCCGACAGAGGGAAAAAGAAAGAATAGCGTGGTGAAGGAAAATGGAAAATTGGGAAATTAGGGCTTTCAACTTGGAATTTGAGAATAAAGGGTCGATGGTTAGATTGTAAATATCACATTTTATCTGATTCAATTGTCTTTTACTAATGACTTGATCTATTTCCACAATATCATTTTGATTTGTATTGGATTGGATTATAAATTGTTTTAAATAGGTCTTATTAACTTATTAAATTCGGTTATGGATTTACATGTCCATTATTTTATTCCAAGATAACGAAACTCGTATGTGCTCAATTCTACAAATGATCTGACGAAATTGTGGGTGGACTTTAAAAATTACCCCTGATCGATTTGTTAATTCTTCTTCCTTAATTTAGAGGATAATTTTGTCAAATTTTCAGTGTGTACTTCTCTTTTAATTATAAGAAGATGTTTTGCACGTCATAACCGTGGTTTGAATAATAATTTACTTATTTTAGATTTTATATTTTAGTACAATAGATAGGAAAATATGTAATATATTTACATAGGTATAACATTTATAGCATATACATATATTGGTTTATTTTAATCAAGTTTGTGATTGTTTGCAATAATAATTGTTTCACCATTAATTTCAGATCGACATGATAACAGATCCGTATCCCGTGTGAACCAGATTAGTGATCAGTTAAATTTCTATTAAACACATGAACTATCAAACCGAATAAAACAATTAAAAAACATTGAAACTTGTTTTTTTCGTTTTTATTTTCCAAAAAGGAAAATGATATACATATTTTAAGTTATCATACTGAAAATATTGAAACATGTGTTGAAAACTAATAAATTAATTGAATATTTCGATATCTCGATGAATGCTCTAGATTCAGAAAGATAAAGGGACCCAAAGTAGAAATAGAGGGTTATAAATTTTCCATTTCATTGGGTGGGGAAAACAAATCAAAATTTCGATATGATACAACCTTATCTTTTTTTTAGTTGGGAAATGAAGGCGGAATCGATCTGAACCAAACCGTCCAATGAAGAATAAGAGGAAAGCAATGTGTCGATGGCGTGCAAAGCGCATGCATGCACAGAGAAAAATAATATTTATAATGATTTACACATCTCGGTTACAATATTTCTTTCTATTGCGCCTAAAATCTCTATTTCTTCTAATATTGCGTGTTTCTATATATGGTTCCTATGAAAGTATAATACATCAAATTTTCATTTTGCTGTAGAATTACTTCTATGATCTTTGGAGCACTGGTCGGCATGACCCAAAGCTCATATTCAGTTGGATATGTAAGTTATATCCGTTCTTGTTTCAGACATGGAAACATAGAAAAAATTTCAATCTTTACAAATGTTTATTTTTATTTGGGGATTTGGACAAATAACCTTTCCATGATACCTTTTTCTACAAATACCCTCTCTATGTGTCCATTTTCAAAAATACCCTTTTCAATGTACAAAATGACTAAATTACCCTCATTTAATATAACACATGATGTAGAAAGAAATATTCCTTCCAACAAAAAGAATATTCCTTCAAAAAAATTTATCCCCAAATTTTCCCGCAAAAGAATTTTCCGACAAAATTTCTCGCCAAAATTTTTCCGTCATTCCTCAAAAACCGTTTAAAAACCTTGTAAATATTTTAAAACCCTTAAAAAACCGTGTAAATATTTTAAACCCCTTAAAAATCCTTTAAAAACTTTCGTAAACGCTACAAGAAAACACGGTTTTGGCGACTACGTTAATAGTAGGAAAATAGTCGCTAAATGGTGATTTACGACTAAATAACGACTAATACGCATAGTCGTAAATCGACAGTCGCTAAAACATGTAGTCGTAAAAATAGTCGCTAAATAGCGACTGCATTACGACTAATGTTGGTAGTCGTAAAGTAGTCGTAGCGTAGTTACTAAATTAGTCGTAATTTAGCGACTACATTACGACTACGTTACAACTACTTTTACGACTACAGACATCAGTTGTAACGTAGTCACCAAAATTAGTGATTAATTTACGACTACACTACAACTACAATCATATTTATATTATATTTATGTGTTTATACAATATTGTATTTATATATATTATTTAGTAATCATACATATATTTGTTAATTATTTTTAAATATATTTAAATAATTAATAATATTTTTCAGAAGAATTGATATTAAAAATAAAACTATTCTATTTATTATTATGAAACCATTATTTTTTAAAAATGATATTACAAAATAAAATAAAAAATAAAAATTAATCATACTCCAAACAGAGAACATAACAAAAGAAAAAAAGATGAACATTTACATATATAATGGTTTGAACTTTGAAGCAAACTCTCAATTGCCTCGTATTCCTTATTTGAAGCCTTTTGTGTACCCTGCAGCAGTCTTGAATCTCAGTTTGATTTGTGCTTTTGAACACATTCTCATGATACTGCTTCAGCATTTTTATCTCCCTAATTGATGTTATCAAAAACTGCATCAAACAAATGATTCAGTAACCAATAAGGATATGTATTCAATGATTCAACTATCTCCTTTGAATCATACAGTCATAAGACACAAACACACACTCATTTCAGATTATATCAAATAAACACACAATGACACAAAAAACTGAAGAAAGATGAAGTGTATTTGTAGCATTAATTAACACCTAAACTGGATTGAATAAACACAAATAACATTGGTTAACAATTTCCCTTGGACTGCCCAACATGACGTTGTTGTATATGACGTTGTTTTCACAACAAGAGAGAATTTTCCCATGACCAGAGTGAACGTTCAGGTGGCAAGTAACCAAGCAAAAGCTGCAATGAGAAACATATTTCAATGGCCTGGATCATATCAGACTCTCAGCCGCAGATCTATGCATTGTTGCATTAACACAAAATAGATTCTGATTTGTAAACAAAACCAAAAATTATGATTATTGTAATGCCTACCTTCTAGAATCCTTTATACAATGACAAACATAGTGTACGATGATGTGCCTTGCAATAATCTATAGCTTGCTGTATTTAATAAATCTAATCCTACTTACCACCCAAAATATACATATTCACAAACACATGTAAACCATATAAATTGTACCAATCTAAGCCAAGAATCATAAACGAGTTTGTCAAATTGTAGTACTAAATTTCAGTTTATGTTGGTTATTACGTATTAGTCTTGTAAAACAAAAAAAAAAACTGAATCAAATCGTATACTGAATTAAGCAATTGACAATATAAATGCATACGTTTATATACATACCTCTTCAAGGATTTTCTTGTTGTAGGCAAGTAGAGTATCATTGTCGGATTTAAGAGACTCAAATTGTTTCTTGAGGGAGTCAAAATCTCTCTCGAGTTGACTCTTCTACCTAGTATGAATCTGCTGCTCTCCCATTTTGAAACCGAATTTCGATCTGCCTCAATCAAGGATATAAGCCATGATCTTTAGTGAATTCAAGCCAACCCCATTTCAATTTACGCAAGATATAGTGAAGTTTATACACCGTGAAGGTTAAATTCCACTAGAATTGATGAGATCTGAAAGAAATTGAACCTGAAGCTGTTGGACGGTGAAGGGCAGTGAAAATCTACGGTTGAGATTTACGATCCCGCAAGAGTGCTCTGTACCAGATCTATCAACTTGGGAGGATGAAAATGTTATAGGATTCCTTAGAGCATCATTATCAGCATAATTGCCAAGATGCATCTTATGGGATGAATATTATATAAATAATGTAATAGTTAAATTTAAGAACCAAACCAAATGTGATAGTTATTGGTTAAACCTGTTGGTTCTTAATTTTATAATAATAAAATAATATAAAATAAAATTATTAATTTATTTTTTTAATTATGAAAAAGAAAAATATATTAAAAAAAAAGATACAAACATCAAAGATACATAAACTCTTTAAAATTAAAAACATAAACTTAAAAAGATACAAAAATAGAAATTATAAACTTAGAAACGTTTTTAATCATTTGGAAGATGTCCAAATTTTGTCCATATATTCTCAATCAAATCCTCTTTTAATTGGTGATGTGCTTGTTTATCACGTATTCTTCTGCGACGATCACCTATACCGTCGAGATTTGTAGCCATATTGTTTGAAAACGTAATATCCGGGCCATCTTCTACGAATTCTTGGTCGTCAAAGAGAGTGTATGAATGTCGTTCATCTTCAACAATCATATTATGAAGTATGAGACATGCTCTGATAATGTAAGCGATTTTTTCTTTTTCCCATAGAAGATATGGATTCTTAACCATGGCGATTCTTGATTGAAGGACTCCAAATGCACGCTCAACATCTTTCCGTGCAGATTCTTGACGTTTTGCAAACAACGAATGTTTCGGGGTTTGTGGTAGTCGGATTGATTGAATAAATGTCGCCCAGTCGGGATAAATACCATCCGTAAGATAGTAAGTCATGTTATACTCCCTTCCGTTGACATAGTAGTTTGCTTGAGGGGCATGACCTTGTATAATGTCATTAAATACCGGTGATTGATCAAGAACATTTAAATCATTACATGTACCTGGTGCTCCAAAAAACGCGTGCCATATCCAGAGATCTTGTGAAGCAACCGCCTCCAAAACAATAGTTGGCTTTCCGGTTCCTCGAGAATACATACCTTTCCATGCGGTTGGACAACTTTTCCACCCCCAATGCATACAATCAATGCTTCCAACCATCCCTGGAAAACCCCTTTGTTCTCCAATATAAAGTAGTCTTTGGAGATCTTCTTCTGTAGGGCGCCTTAGATATTCATCGCCAAATAAGTCAACAATTCCCACGACAAAATTTTCCAAACACTTACGAGCCGTCGTTTGACCAAGACGTATATATTCGTCAACAGTGGCTGACCTCTTTGCTTATTCTACCCCATCTCTGCTTGCAATGATCTGGCAGTCGTCGTTCTGCACCATTCTTCACATGCTGACTAGCTCCATAATACTCAGAAATCCTTTGCCAAAAGGTGCCTGACCTTTGGTCATTGCCCACAATCACATCCTTTGATGTGTTAAGCCACCCATTAATCAACACTAGGTCATCTGAGGAGTTCCATTGCCTTCTCTCCCTATTAGCATTTGGGGTGGCTTGAGAAGGGTTTTGGCTGCGAGTAGGGTTTTGGCTGGGAGAAGGGTTTTGGCTAAGAGAAGGGTTTTGGCTAAGAGAAGGGTTTTGGCTAAGAGAAGGGTTTTGGCTTCCTTGAGATGTTTGTTGGCTAAAAGGTGGGAATTGGGTGGGAGGAGTAGAGCCAAAGTTGACATTTTGGGAGAAGCTGTCATAAGGAAAATTGTTTAAACTAAAGTACCCAGGTGAACCCCCATACGGATTGTTTGAATCCATTGTGACTGTTTAGTTTAAAAAGAAGCAAAAAGAAAGTTGAAAGAAGTAGCAAAACAGATGTCAAAGAAGAAGGAAAACAGAAGGTCAAACAAGGCACCAAAACTGAATGTCAAAGAAGAAGAAAACAGAAGGAGGAAAGCAGAAGCAAAACAGAAAGGTTGAAAGAAGTAGCAAAACAGACGTCTCAAAGTCGAAGAAGAACATATGTATAGCAAAACAGAAGGTCATAGAAAAAGGAAAACAGAAGGTCACAGTAGAAGCAAAACAGAAGGATCAAAGAAGAAGCCAAAAATAGAAGGATCAAAGGTAAAAGAAGAAGCAAAACAGATGGAGAAGAAGCAAAATAGAAGGATGAAAGAAGAAGGTAGATGGAAGGAGTTAATTTCTACAAAGTTCATAAAGAGACTTTGTAGAGTTATTACAGAAAGTTAAAGCAATGTATTACCTACTTCTATCAAATCACCATTCAAATATTAATGTAGCAAATAGTGCTCAACCATAATACAATGGTTTCTAATTATTAACAGTGAAGAATAAAGAAGATAGTTAAGTTTTAAGTGTAAATTTTAAGTTCTTCTAACTAGATCAATTCAAAACAATACAATGACTTATGTCAGAACAATATATATAACACAAATTCTTAGTTCACTAACCACCAGTCAGATGGATCTTCTATATATAAGACAATTTATGCAAGCATAGTTCAATTTAAGGTTTCAATGCTATTATATAAACAAATCTCATAAAGCTCCACAGACGGTTTACTTGAAACCAATGATAAACAAAGCTCATACAAATGACCTAAGGATTAAGATCAATATACAACAACAATTTATCAA